CAAAGCCTGGATTGTGAAAGAAGCCTGGGCCCCAGGTGCCCACTGGAGGCCAGAGGGAAGCCCAGGTCCTGGTGGCTGGAGGGAAGCCTGGGTCCTAGGTGCCAGAGGGTAGCCAGTGCCAGCAGCCAGAGGAAGGAATGCCTACTTTTGCATGAATTTCATGCATCAGGCCTCTAGTTCTATCTAATAAGAGGGAATATGCTAGTTGATCCTCATATCGATACCATCGCAAAGATGGCAGTGCCCAGGCCAATAAGGAGGGAATATGCTAATTGCCATGCCTTCGAAGATGGTGGCACCCAGTTCCTCAGCCCTGCCTGCCTCCAGAGTCCCCCCAGTCTCCCCAGTCCTCCAGCCACCCAGGGACAGCCGAAGGTGCAGGAAGCCTTGGATGTCAGCTGCCCAGTGACCCAGGGTCACCCAAGGCTCAGGTAACCAGGGCTGCCTGAGGCTTATGCTGCTGGCAGTAGTAGCAGCAGCAGCAGCAGCAGCAGCAGCAGCAGCAGCGTAATGGGGATGTCGCCTTCCCCTAATTACCGATTGCCTCCTGCCCCTGAGGGCTCCCAGACTGTGAGAGGGGGAAGGCCAGGCTGAGGGACCCCCCTTTCCAGTGCATGAATTTTCATACACCAGGCCTCTAGTATTTAGATAATACAGATTCTATACTATGAAATATATTACTACTGACTTATTGACTAAAGCATCCAAAACATAAAACTGTGTTATATCGAAAATGCTATTGGTCTTAAGTTTGTTCTCAGTACTCCAGTTTAAGGTTGACAGTGCTTCTCTTTTAGTGTGGAGCCAGCTGAGGGGCAGTGACCTTGAGACTATGAGTGGGAACAAGTCTCTATTTAAGTAGAGTTAACCTGAGTCTTTTTTCTGAGAGTTGTATTTCCTCAGGGGCAGTAGCATAGTGGTAAAAATTAGCATGAGGAGGGGAAGTGCAGCAAGAATTTGGCACTACAGGGAAAGGGGTACATGGTATCGAAGTTATGAAGGACTTTGACTACAGTATCTTGGTGAATTTATGACAGCTTCAATCCAATTGTATATTCTAAAGTGAAATGAGTAAATACTTCTAATTTTTAAACACTGATGAAAACAAAAAGAGGATTCTGGTTCCCTCAGGGTTCCCAGAAAATCATCTTTAGATGGAGTTCTACCCCTTACCATATTGCCTTTATCTCTTCAAAATGTAATCCAAAATACTTTCTCAAGCATGTTGACTGAGAATTTACCACTGAACTTTCCTAGTTCTTAATTATTGCCATTAATTCTACTAGTACTGACAATCAAGATAGCTTAACCTGTCTGAGCATCTGCAAAATGGTGATTGTAGTGCCTGTCATTGGGTTAAGGACCAGAAAAGATAATTTGTGTATGTCAAGTGGTTATCTCAGTGCCTGGCACATAGTGACATGGCTTTGGCGTCAGAGAGACCTGAGTACTGACCTGTGTTTTGTTCCTATCTTTGTGACTTTGGAAAAGTTAATTAAGTTTTTGTGCCTTAATTCTCTTATCTGCAAAATGGGTCAATACCTCCTAAGATTTTTGCAAGAGGTACATTAGTACTAATATGGTAACAGAAGCAAAAATAAGCCTTTTAAAATTTTTGGTTTTCATTATTATTTTTAAATTATTTTTGCCTTGTCATCTCATTTAGGTGCTTCCAACTGCAGTTTGCCAAATGTCTCCACTATACTTGCTCTGCCAAACACTATGCAATCTATACTGCAAAATCAAAGACCTGAAGTTGAAATTTCCTTCAAACTATTAGGTATTTGCCGGTATACACTAGATGTCTAGAGTTCAACTCCTAGCTGATTGGATCAGAACAAAGTATAACTAGTGCTCAATTTCTCCATAGAAGCACAGCAAAAGAAAAGATGTGCTGTGAGCCTAGGAGTAGAGAATGAGGTAGATCCCTGCCAGCCCCTCCTGCCTCTTTCCCATTTGCATGTCCTGTTTTTACTGTAGTGAGAGGGTGGCAATCTGTAACGCCTGAGATTGTTGCTGCCCTGGACTTACTTCCTTTTCCGTCGAGACTCCCACTGTCTTCCCCCTTGATTTTCTTTCAGTTGTGTCCTGTCCAACTCTATACAACTTGATAATTCTTTTCTCTCCCTGAACCGTTCTCCTGCAGTTATTCCCCCAAGTGCCACTGCTCAGAAGCCTCCACCTCTGCCCTGATCTTTTGTCCTCACTCACTTTCAAGTGCCTTGTCCTGTTATCTGTCCACGACACATGAACACAGGCAGGAGCTTCCTTGGTTTCCCACCACCCCGCCATACAGATCAGTGTGTGCTCTCCTTCCTTCCTGCCCCAAAGGAAGAGATGGCCTTTCTAAACCTACTCATGTCAATAAATTCATTTCCCTTTTCTGTATTTTTGTGAGCATTTATTTCATTTTACACAACACAGAAGTACAAAATATACACCGTCCACTCTACTGCCTTGTAACTAACCCCACTGCACCCTATACCCTCCCACACCCATCCACTCCTACTTTCCATCTCCTGACTGATCCCAATCTCCCTAGGTAATACCTTGTTTGCTAAATGTCTTCCCCCCCTTATTTAAATATAAACCTGGAACATAAGGCACACAAAAAATCTATTAATATACATAGCATAAATATACACACAATACTTTTAGGGTTTTTGTTTCACACACACAAAACTGACCTTTCATATATTTTTAACAGAACAGATATTCTTCCAATACAGTAGGGCAGGATCTGTCCCATTCTTTTATATATTTGTTCCGTTTTTAAGCTTTCTTCAGCTGTCTCCTTCCCCATGGCTCTAGTTTCTCCCAATCAAAAGAACCCTCTCTCAGCTATATATCTACACCAATCCTTCCCTTCACAGCCAGGAGTCCTTGTAGAGCCCCCTTCGCTGACTGTACTTCCTTACTTCCTGCTCCCTCTCTCCTCAGTTCTGTCAGTTTGGCTTTTGCTTCTCCCCCACCCAGATTTGCTCAAAGATCAAAAGTGAATGCCAGACCCAACGAGCACTTTTTGCCTCCTGTCTTAGAGGCCCCCTGCAGCCTTGGGCACTGCTGACTTGCTCCCCTGGCAACTCTCTTCACCCTATTCTGAATACTCTTAATTGTACCAGCCATTTGCAACATAGAATCATCCAACTCTAAATGTCAGAGTGCTGAGTTTGGGAAGCCCTGCCCTAGAAGGATATAAACAAGCCGAAGGATATTTCTGATTAAATACAAGCTAGGTATCTTGTCCCTAATTCTGATGGTTATCCACACTTGTCCCAAAAGGAAATAGCCCAAAGTCACATCTAGCTGCTGCAGAGATGTCGAGGGCCATAACTTCAGTCTTTAGGTCCACAGTGGGTAGGTGATGTCCTGGGCTCCTCAAGTTTTCTCAGGCTGTTGTGACTCCTCACCATCCTTCCACCTGTGGGCTAAACTGTGCATTTAGTTCTTCTCAACAAAGCTTATTGCCATGAAAGGTAGAGAGAAAGACCATCTTCTCCCTCTCTCTTTCCCATCACCCCGTTGCTTTGGAATTTAATTTCCCACTGGGATATGTTCTATTCCACATTTCTGAATTCACTGAGGAATTTGTACCCAAATTCCCCTCCCAAATTTATCCTGGTGGTGGGTTGGGGGACAGGATCCCTCAGGATGGCACCATACTTTGGCCAGTGGTATAGACCAGCAAACCCTCTGTGCATTACAGTTGCTGACTCACCTCGGCAGTGGCTTTTGTTCCATGTTCACATTTGATTGTCCCCAGTTCTCACTGGGAACTAGGGAGGATTCTCTTATCATGGGCTGAATAGTCATAGCAGTCCTCAACTACAGCTGGTGTGTCTTCTGTAGATAGTCCTAAGGGATTCTCTTAGGGATGGCAAATCTCTACTGTTGTAAGCCCAGAGGGCACGGGGGGCGGAGGGGGGAGAGGGGGTTAACCCAGGCCTGTTTTGATTATTTCTTCTGATATAACTCACTCAGAATATGAACGAGCTTCTTGTTCAGTTCATCCCTGGATACTCTTGGGGAGCAGGAATCCTGACTACCTATCCATCACGGCGGTATCTCCCTGGCCAGTTCTGACATTTTCTTTGACAGTCTGTGGTTTGCCACTGCTCTTCTGGTGCCAGTTTGACTTTGAAATAACCTGGTTCCACAGAAGAGTAAGTCGCTCAATTTAACTTAAAGAAAAGAGGATCTGGGTAGAGTGGATTTTTATACAACACAATTTCAGGAAACATAATAGAAAAATAGTTGAGCCTCCACTCTCTTATCTCCAGGGTTTCAAGATAAACTTTTCTCTGCTTCTCTGTGCCTCTTTTCTCTGGGATGTCATACTTCTAAGACACTTGGCCTCTGTAAAGAACATGGCTCTACTTTCCACTTAACCAGAAACAGGCCTTGGCCGAGGCCTCCGTGTCCATGGCTCTGACCTTGGCCCCAACTCCAGCTGACCCACTGCTTCACCGCCCAACACCATCCTGACTATGAAATCTGCCTCTCTTCTGATTGCCTAGTTTGAGAATCTGTTTGGCTCAGGATGGGTCAAATGTCCACTCCTGCGGCAATAATCTAGAGCCTAGGTAGGGAGTGGGTACCCAGGTCCCTAAGATACTAGAGTGGGGGAAGAGATACATACAAACAAATAGCACTTCTGGGGTGTTGAATACTTTCGCTCTGGAACAGCGGTCGCCAATCTTTCGTACCTCACGAACCACTGGTTGGTGACCGCTGCTCCAAACCAGTGGTTGGCAACCTTTTGGACCTCACTCACGGACCACCAGTTGGCAACTGCTGCTCTGGAACACAAAGAGGATCATCAAAGCATTTCTCTCCCACCTCCCACTCTGCCTCCCTCCAACTTCACTAGTCTTGTTCTCCCACTCATCCCCTTCCTCCCACTCAACACAGCCCCTCCCCCCACCCAAAATTGATATCCCTTTGGGTATTTCACATTTCTGAATTTAAGGGTTCTGTAACCAGATGCCCCTCCCACAGTGCTAGAAAATTTCTCTCCCTGAAAAATTCACAAGATTACGCCAAAGGCAGTTCCAATCCCCGGGCCTGTGAGATGCTGGAGGTATTCTCAGTTGTTGGGGCTCAAAGGCTCTCTTGTTTCTTTGGGGTTCTTGAGGGTCTGTTCCCTGGACCCCCACCATAGAGGGGCCGCAGTAGGCAGCCTGATATGGAGATCCTGCTGTGAAGGCTGCCCCTAGTAGGGACGGTGTGGGTGCTTCTGGGAAGGGAATAGGGGGGCATTAGAATGGGTATGTGAATGAGGCAGGGAGCTGGACAGGAAGGGTTGCTTGTGAGATTGTGGACCTAGGCTTGAGAGTCCCAGGAAAATAAAGCTGTTTTTACTGATCTGAGATGTCCCTGCCTCTGCCTGCCATAGGTGTACATTTTCTGCTCCATAAAGCTGCAGGAGGCTTCCACCCCCCAGCCCCCATCTGCATCCTTCTGTTTTCCTCTTCCTCCTATAGCAGCAGAAGCAGTAATAGTAGCAGCAACAGCAACCTCCACCTTGTTTTCTCCTCACCTGCTCCTTTTGCCCCAAACACACTGGTAGTAGCTATGCCTGGCTCCTGTAGACCCTGCTGCCATTCCCAGGAAGATACCATCTCCTGTAGAGAAGTGGACAGGGTTAAATCCCATTCTGGGGGTGGAGGGGCAGGGAGGGAAGATAGGGTAGTACCAAGTGTGGTAATCTTACAGCTCAGAGAAGCTTCCACCTCAGCAGTTCCTTCTCTTTTTGAAGCTCAGCCAGTTTGGCCAGGGTCAGCTGCAGCCGATAGGCTGCCTCTTTGCGCTCCATTTCGTGCTTCGTGGTAAGCTCCTTCATGTTGGAGGCCAAGGCGTGTAAGGCCGATTTGTGCAGTTTGGTGAAGTCTTGTAACCACTGTAGCCTGCAAGCATATAACTGGCCCTGCCAGCGGGCACAGTGCACGCCCAGGGCCAGACTACCCCAGGCACAGGCCTTCTTGGCCTCACTGGTCACTGCGCTGTTTTCCAGGATAGCTCTGAGCTTGTCTTATACCCCCGCTCAGGACAGGGATATATTCTCCAGGTAGAACTCTGGGCCCTTTTTTGTGTCTGGCCATTTTCTCACTGATTAAAGTCTCCACATTGCCATGCTGGAACCCACCAGAGGGGTCCTCGGGTATCAAGGCCACGATAGCAGAGGGCCTTAGGGGCCTGGCTGCACTGCAGGGATTAATTAACTAGTCATTCCCTCTGTTAGGGCCTCTGCAGTTAGCCCTTCCCCCAAGGCTCCTCCTATCTGCTACCCTCCCCACCTCCCTCAGATATCCCCTCCTACACTTACACAGGATACCTCCCACCAGGCTTTCTTCTCTCCAGATGCTGACCAAAGGCAGTGTTCCCGGACCACACCTACTGACCACGCCTGCAGACTCTGCACTATGCCCCCCCCCGCCCCCCCCGCCCCAAGCCCAGAGAAAGGATACCTTTCTTTCCTATGGCTCCAGGGGAAAAGGAAGGCTAAGTGCCAACCCTAGAACCTTATACCTTGAGACTGTACCAATTTCCAGAGACGGCAGGGGAGGAAGCGAATGTGCCAGGAATATCCTTCCCATCCCCCAACCCCCAAGACTTCAGAGGACCCACCATACTGTTGAAAGCTCTTGAAGGTGGAAGATACAGGAGTGGTCAGAAAAGACTTAGATCCAAGAATGCAAAGCACTTGTAATCACATATAAAAAACTTCACTCTCTCTCACCACCACAATGGTTTGTCTCATGCCTGGGGATTTGCTCCTCCTAGAGATGGAATGTTCTAGAACACAGTCAAGCCTGATCCTCTCAGTGGCCTCAGGTGCCCACTGGGGAAAAGATTGGGGCCAGAGAACAGCCTAACCCCCCACTGACCCAGGACTGAGCACTGTGGTCACTGTAATGGTCATAAATTCCAGTCCTATATACTCCTCAGACTGTCTGAAGTCTGCTGCCTGTCACCTCATCCCCTGTATTTCTTCCCTGCAGCCATTTGACATCAGGTTTGTCTTCTATACTACCTTATCATCAGAGGGGTGACCATGTCTCTTTAAACCTCCAATGGCTTTCTGAATCCTATGGGATAAACCAGACAGAACCCTAATTTGCTACTTATTTCATGACTTTGTGCTATAACAGGATCGCAGTTTCTGTCTATGGGTTTACAATAGGACTGAATTACAAGCGTATATAAACTTGATGTAATGTTTTCCATAACTCCATTCTTGTAAAATGTACAAATCTCTCTCTCTCTCTCTCTCTCTCTCTCTCTCTCTCTCTCTCTCTCTCTGTCTCTCTCTCTCTCTCTCTGTCTTTGCACAAGTGTCTTAGAAAAAGAAGGAAGGGTATACACCAGACTTTTTATTTTAATAGTTAATTTTTTGTTGCGGAGTAGTATTGTGATCTGTAAATTACCACTTTAACTATTTTTTAATTGTTTGCAGTGTTTCCCAAAGTGTGGTATGCGTACCCCCAGGGGTATGGGAAGAGTTTGGTGGGGGTTCGAGTTGCACCGGACTTTGGTGGGGATATGCACTGCACCGTGCTTAGCTGCGCCCAATTCTACCTTCTCATGAGTATGAGGGGTACTCAGCATTACGAAAATTATAGAAGGGGTACATATATGTCAAAAGTTTGGGAAACACTGGTTTAAAGAATTACAAATAGTAGTACATATATCTCCTTCCCCCCCCCCCCCATTGACCTTCTCCAGGCCTCCCCTACCCCATGGCACATGCCCTTACCTCCTACTCCCCAAGTGTCTTGTGTCCATTGGTTGTGTTTATATGCATGCATACTAATCCTACAGTTTATATGCATGTGTACAAGTCCTACGGTTGATTTCCTATGGATCACCCCCCCTTCCAACATTCCCCAGCTTCTCCTCTGTAATTTGACAGTCTATTCAATGCTTCTCTGCCTATGTATCTATGTCTTTGGTTATCAGGTTATAATGTTCTTTATTTTCTATAGATGAATGAGATCATGTGTTATTTTTCTTTCACTGCCTGGCTTATTTCACTTGCATAATGCTCTCCAGTTCCATCCATGCTGCCGCAAATGGTAAGAATTCCTTCTTTTTTATAGCAGTGTAGTATTCCATTGTGTAGATGTACCACAGTTTTCTAGGTTGACTTCCCAGACTCTAGAGCCTCTCCAGCTTTTTTTTTTTTTTTTTTTTCGTCCTCTCTGAAGCAGGAACTATGGAGGGGGGGAGGGGGCAGGTCCAAGCAACTGCAATCTCCCACAACTCTCAGATACCCCTCCGCGCCAGATCCAAATGTGTTGCTCTTTAGATATCTCCCCTGTTAGGAGCCCCGTCCACTTTCACGGGTGACACCCGCCCAACAGCGGGGGCTTCTACTTGTAATCACCGTCCTTGTCCTCCAGCTTCTGCGCGCCCTGTGAGCACAGGCTTTGTTTTCGCTGCGAGTGCTCTCCACCCTCTCCCCGCGAAATCTGACCTTTTCGCCGAGCAGTGGGGCACTCCTGTGAGGCCAGGTGTTCGCGCCGCCTGGGATCCGCGTTATGGGGGTCACAGTTGCTTGTTGGTCACTGCGGCTGTTGATATTCAGGCCTCTGACACGATCCTATCTTCCTCTCAAGATGGCGAGGTTTCCCTATCCAAGCTGGTAGGTAGCTCCGGGCAGGGACATAGCCCGCGTTGGTGCTTCCCTGTGAGGGGTACCTCTGTCAGCAGCCCCCCAGCAGTTTCTTCTGGTGTTCGCTGTCTCCCAGCTTGCTAATAAACACTCACAGCTCAAGACCATCAGTTGCTCTCTCTTTCTGCTTCGGGAGAGGGCTCAGAATCCGCCCATCTATTCTTCCGCCATCTTCCCCCTCCCTCGATGTACCACAGTTTTCTAATCCACTCATCTGCTGATGGGCATTTAGGCTGTTTCTAAATCTTAGCTATTGTAAATTTTGCTACTATGAACATATGGGTGCAGATATCCTTTCAGATTGGTGTTTCTTTTTTTGTGATATATTCCTAGAAGTACTATTACTGGATCAAATGGCACTTCCATTTTTAAATTTTTGAGGAAACTCTATATTGTTCTTCACAGTGGCTACACCAGTCTGCATTCCCACTGGCAGTGAAGGAAAGTTCCTTTTTCTCTGAATCCTCACCAACACTTGTCACTTGTTGATTTGTGGATGATAGCCATTCTGACGTGTGTGAGGTGGTACATCGTTGTTTTGATTTGCATCTCTCGTATGATTAGTGACTTTGAACATGTTTTCATGTGTCTTTTGGCTTCCTAAATGTCCTCTTTTGAAAGGTGTCTATTTAGGTTCTATGCCCATTTTTTGATTGGGTTGTTTATCTTTCTTTTATTAAGTTGTATGAGATCCCTGTAAATGTTGGAGATTAAAGCCTTATAGGAGATAACATTGGCAAATATGTTCTCCCATGTAGTGGGCTTTCTTGTTGTTTAGTTGATGGTTTCTCTTGCTGTGAAGAAGCTTTTTATTTTGATGTAGTCCATTTGTTTATTTTCTCCTTAGTTTCTCTTGCCCTAGGATCTGTATCTGTAAAGATACTGCTACAACATATGTCTGCAATTTTGGTACCTATGTAGTCTTGTAAGATTTTTATGGTTTCCTGTCTTATGTTAAGTCCTTTAGCCATTTTGAGTTTGTTTTTGTGTATGGTGTAAGTTGGTGATCTAGTTTCATTTTTTTTGCATATATCTGACCAGATTTCCCAGCACCATTTATTAAATAGGATGTTTTGACTCCATTGTATGCTCTTGGCTCCTTTGTCAAATATTAATTGAGTATAATGGCTTAGGTCCATTTCTGGGTTCTCAATTCTGCTCCATTGGTCTATATATCTGTTCTTGTGCCAGTACCAGGCAGTTTTGAGAACTATGGCTTGGTAACATAGTTTGATGTCTGGTATTGTGATCCATCCTACTTTGTTCTTCTTTCTCATGATAGCTATGGCTATTCGGGGTCTTTTTTGTTCTGGATGAATTTTTGGAGAGTTTGTTCTAGTCTTTGAAGTATGCCATTGGTATTTTATAGGTATTGCATTGAATCTATATAGTGTTTTAGGTAATATGGACATTTTAATGAGGTTTATTTTATCAATCTATGAACATGGTATGTTTTTCCATTTGTTTATGTCTTCCTCTATCTCTTTTTTCAATATCCTGTAGTTTTCCGAATACAGGTCTTTCAAGTTCTCGGTTAAGTTTATAACTAAGTACCTTATTTTTTTTTGGTAAAATGGTAAATGAGATTTTTTTCGTTTCTCTTTCTGTGAGTTCATGATTGGTGTATAAAAAGGACATAGATATATGGGCGTTAATTTTGTATCCTGCTACATTGCCAAATTGATTTAGTAGGTGTAGTAGTTTTTTGATGGAGTCTTAGGGGTTTTCTATGTACAGGATCATGTCATCTGTGAAAAGAACAGTTTTACATCTTCTTTTCCAATTTGGATGCCTGTTATTTCTTCTTCTTGTCTAATTGCTATTGCTAGTACTTCTAATACTATGTCAAACAGGAGTGGTGAGAGTGGGCATCCCTGTCTTGTTCCTGTTCTTAGGGGAAATGAGTTTAATTTTTGCCCATTGAGTATGATATTGGCTGTGGGTTTG